TTTGGCATTAAATTTATAGTTAAGTCATTTTCTAGTTCTTATTCCTGTAACCTAAACACTTGGCAAAAGGGGAAGAAAGATAAGGAAGAGTTAGTGTTTCAGTAGGCTCTGTTTTTCATTGGACTCAGTAGTTCCTCTCACCCATAGTGAAGCATAGCTTTGACTCTTGCCCCCAGTTTGAGTGTGTGATGTTGCAGGCTGATTTCTTAAATAAATGTCCTTTTTTTGTCAGAATGCAGAAAGCAAGCAATAAACAGTAACCGAGTGTCAGTTTACTTCCCACAATTAGAAAAGCTGCCTTTGCACGTTAATCTGCTATTCTAACATATTTATTGCTTTACAACTGTTGACCTTATAACCTTAGCTTATTTAGTTTTGTCTTTGCACATCTTCATCATGTTACATGTTAATTTGCTGTTCAGCTCCAGTCTATAAGTTTGAACCTTACCCTTCCATTCCAATGCATTTGAAAAAGTGTGCATGCACACGAAAGCTCATACCTTGAATAAAACTTTGTTGGTCTTAAAGGTGCCACTGGACTCTAAATTTGTTCTACAGACCAACATGGCTGACTACCTGGATAAATGGAATTGTGTAAAGGTAAAGGTTCCCTTGCTCAAAAGCCAGTCAAGTCCCGACTCTAGGGTTGCGGTGCTCATCTCCGTTTCAAAGCCGAAGAGCCAGCGCTGTCCGAAGACATTTCCGTGGTCATGTGGCCGGCATGACTAAACGCCAAGGCGCACGGAACGCTGTTACCTTCCCACCGAAGTGGTACCTATTTATCTACTTGCAATTTCTTGCTTTCGAACTGCTAGGTTGACAGGAATTGTACCTTTTCATAATTCTCTTCCTTTTGATTGGCTGCCAGGAATGTGAATAATAAAACAAAAGTCCCCTGGCATCTTAAAGGTTAACAACTTTCATTTCAAAGTTTGAGTCCAGTGGCACCTTTAAGGCCAACAAAGTATAAGACCAACAAAGTGGGTATAGGCATTTGAGTGCATACACCAGTCACTCTGTTCATCCCTGACAGACTAGTAGACTTGATGCTTCTCCCAGTTCCATCTTCAATGTTCATTATGAATTTCCCAAAACTGTTTTGCATTTCTTTGGGTGAAACTATTTTAAACCCATTGCAAAGAGAATGTTCTACGTTTTTTCTTGAACAATAACTGATTCCCACTATGTGACAAGAAATCTTTTAGTAGTAATTCTGGGATGCTTGCTCATAAATAGACTCCTCATCTCCAGAGAAATGATAAGGCAAATCTGAAAGAGGAGTCAACATGGATGGCTCTTACTGTTAACTTTAAAAGATTAACTCTGTAGAATCTATATAGAATATAGAATCATCACTGTTTTATAACGGTCCTGTTCACACTAGGCGATTTGGGCCGGGAGCGGGACAGTTCGGGGGCGGAGCAAACCGGCGCGATCACACCACAACATCTGGGAAGCATGGTGCTTCCGTCCCCGAACTGGCCCTTCCCCGCGAAAATCCGCCCCAACTTGCAATTACCTACCTTGGTGGTTCATCGGGAAGCTGCGCGGCAAGCCAGGCTGTTTGATCGCCGGCGCGTCCTTGCGCCGGCGCATCCCCGGTACCTAACCGAACTGCGCATGCTCGGACATGCGTAGTTCGGCAGGCTCCCCGTCAGGACCGTGTTTTCTCCCCGGCGTCTGATCGTGCCGGGGAGAAAAGGCGGCGCGGCCAGGGGATCCGTGGGATCCCGCCGCGCCGTTTCAACTTTGGCGCGGCTTTTAAAAGCCACGCTTTTGGGCGGCTTTTCCCCTGCCGTGTGGCAGGGGCCAACCATTGCCAGAGTATGTCCCATCACATGTACATGAAACTACACAATGACCTACAGTTTTCGGGAATTCTGAGGCCAAATGCTCCCTCTAATCTGTGGAGTCCTGTGAGCAAAAATTCTACTTTGCGAGCTACTAGCATTAAAGTTGTGAGTGAGGGATTTGGCTACTGCATAAATTAGTTTGCTCTGGAGCCAATCCTTCCTGAGCTAAGACAAAAATGTGTGAGCCAGAGGCTAAAAAACTGTGAGCTAGCTCACACTAACTCAGCTTAGAGGGAACACTGAGACCATCTGTCTCTGTTGCAAAGAGAATTAGTCTCAGATTGTGTAAAACAATCCACCAGTGTGCCTCAGCAGGTATAGGAGAAAAAGAAGTAGAATAAACCAATTGGTAAAATATGGTGTATATTGAATATGAGACACCCAGGTTCCAGACCCCAATCTGTCATGGAAATCTGCTGAGTGACCTTGGGTCAGTAATACTCTGTCTACCTAATGTACCTCTCAAGGTTAACACTTTTAAAGAAATGCATTATATGTTGTCAACTGCCTTGCCCATGGAATGGATTTCTGAGGAATATCTCACTTGTGGGACAGGCATACTAGAAACTGGTAAATTGTCTGCATCCCTCCCAGATCTGCTCAAACTAGAACCCAAAACTTGAGGAAGAGGGGAAGCAATTTTGTACAAAAGAATTTTGTACAAAGAAGACGGGGACGGCAAAGGATGAGATGGTTAGACAGTGTCATAGATGCAACGAACATGAAATTGAGCAAACTTCAGAGGATGGCAGAAGACTGGGAGGCCTGGCGTGATCTGGTCCATGGGGTCGCGGAGAGTTGGACTCAACTGTGCGACTGAACAACAAAAATTATTTGTAAATTGAAATATAAGGACTATGAAAGTTGCCTTAGATATGCTCAAGTTTGCCTCCTCTGTGACTTTAGGAACTACCACATATTAAAAATGTAGGTCTGCCATCTAATCCTGCACCTCTTCTTTGATGATAATTCCACAGAACTTTGAGGTCACTACAGTCCCATTGGATTTTAGCTACTGTATATTAAATGAATGGTAAAGTCTACTCAAACTTCTTTAAGCTCTCTTCATTGCAGAGATTGAAGATGGAAGACATCTGATACAGTTAGTCCAAACTTAAACCTTGGTTTAGAATCCCAGTTTATGGAGAAGAACTAAGTTCAGTTTGCTCTTCATTTGAATGTCAAGACTAACTGGACTTCACTGGAGACACTATCTTCAGTCTGTATCAGAAAGAGGGATGGAACTCAAGTATTAACTAGGTTCATACCAGTTGCAAACCAACTGAGGCTTGTTTGTGACACCTAAGAGGATCAATCATGATCTGGAAGCTTAGTGGTTTAAATCTCAGCAAAAACTTACTAAGTGGACCGAATCAAGCAATTTTTTTCAAACACCCCCCCCCCCCCAGTCTGCAAACAGCGAAATTACTGGTCTTCTTTGTTGGGTAGCTGAAGGATTACTATGATGCTCTTTGAATACTGTAAAGCACTATATAGTAGTGGTACCTAGGCCTTTAGGGGTTTGGATCTTGCATAAGCTTTCCTGAAACGTAAAAAAGTAAGCAGATAGTAACACAGCAGACAGAGCTGCCTCAGTTATTCCCCATACATGGATGATCTTTGTATTATGTGGGTTTTGCCTTGCTCTGAATTCTGCACCTCACTATAAGACTCTTGCTTTTCTTGGAAAGACTTAATGAGTTGTACTTTCATTTTGTGGGTTCTGGAGTCAGACTCTAGGAACTCTTTCCTCCCCACTCTGTGGTGCAAATTGGGGATTCTCTGTTAATTCACTGTGTTTGTGTAATGGGCTAGCACAAGAACCTAGTTGGTATTAGTACGTTTTTATTTAGGTGATTTCTACACTGGGGCAGCCTTGTATGGTTTATCCTGTTACTGCTGCGGCTGCAACACAGCAACAGTGGGGCTTCCATGAGGCAGATTTCCTTGTAGTTTCCCTGCCCCCCCATCATCTTGCAATGACTGTCCTCCAGCCACTAGGTCTTTTTTTCCAAGTGTTTTTAAAAGCCATAGATATTATTAGTGTTCCTCTAAGCTGAGTTAGTGAGAGCTGGCTCACATTTTTTAGCCTCTGGCTCACACATTTTTGCTTAGCTCAGGAAGGATGGCTCCAGAGCAAACTAATTTATGTAGTAGCCAAATCTGTTGCTTACAGCTTTAATGCCAGTAGCTATATGTCTATGTTAGAGTTACCACGCCCCTCCAGCCTCTTGTGGGGGGTAGGGTTGCCAGCTCCAGGTTGGAAAATTCCTGGAGATTTGGGGATGGAGCATGGGGCGGACAGGGACCTTAGTGGGATATGGTACTATACAGTCCACTCTGCAAATTATCCATTTTCTCCAGGGGGACTGATCTCTGTAGCCATGAGATGAGATGTAATTCTGGGGAATCTCCAGGTCCCACCTGGAGGCTGGCATCTCTAGCTCTCTGTCTCTGTCTGTCTCTCTTTGTATATATGTATATGTGTGTATGTGTATACATATATATATGTGTGTGTGTGTGTGTGTGCATACATATAAAAATGATTGAAATGTCTCAAAATAAATTGCTTAAAAGGAAGGGGTGATCAATTATAAAATTCTTAAGAAAATGTATGGCAAGATACAGTAACGCCTTTTCAATCGCAGTATTTTCCTCTGAGAAACATTTTAATGGAGTGTTTTAAATAACTTCATTGTAGGGGATTTTAAAAAATCTTAATGCATGTTCTTGCCTGTGCTATGTTATTTCTAGCAGGTCATTCAAGAGCAGCTTTTTACCAATGTGTGTTAATGACTTAGTAGAGATTTGACTACTTTGCACAGATCTTTTTTGTTCTTAAGCTGGAAGACCTAAAGCCTAAAGCTTTGTTTATTGCACTTCTACGCATACTTCCTGGGGGAGGGGGAAACATAAGTGTATCTTATTTCCAAGTAAACATGGTTAGGTTTGGGCCATGTGTCCTCCTGAAACCAGTTAAACAAGTTGCCGCAAACCTAAATCTGCTTTCAGTGAATCATGACTAGTTCTAGTTAGGGCAGGCCTCTTACTTTTATTACATTTTAAAAAATATTTAATTTTCCCATATCTCCAATTCTAGATCAAAGAGTTGTGGATATACTTGAAGATCCCGTGATCAAGAAAAATGAATTAATGTTCCTTGGGAGAAGCTTTTAAAAAAAAACCTCACCCTGGAATCTTAAACTTCAAACTTGGACTATGCTAAACTAGAAATACAATCAAAAATGAATGTTGAAGAGTTGGAGGAAATGGGCTTGCAGCCTCCTTTAATCATTAGGGATGAAAATGGCAATAAATGTGTGTGTCATAATGCTGCATTACCCTCACTGAACGGAACCCCTGCTAGCCAGTACCAAGAAGCAGAACATGAAGATTACGTAGAACTGAAGGATACATATGATCTGATAAATAGATCAAGCCACCCATGCATTGAAGCAGAAGACCTGCAGAAGGTTTCCAGTGACTACATTTGCATGGGGACCATGGATTTAGAGGCTGTGCGTATCCCTGCTTCAAAGGAGCAATATTACATGCATGCCTTGAAACAAAATGTCACGGAACCAACAAGCCTTCTCAAAGACAGTCTTGCAATGAAGAGTATCCAGAATCTCGGTACTGAGGAATCTGTGCCTTATTGTCAGGCAGAACTAACACACTTTGCTGCTGTGGAGTTAAGTAAAAATTCTGCAATCCAAGATGAATTAGGTTGTTCTCAAATAGGACAGGAAGAAGCTAGTTCAAGTGAAGCTTTCATTACAGTTATAAACCTGGAGAGTAAATGTAATGAAGAGGGATCTGGCCATCAAGTATTTGTATCTTCTGGGGAAATGAATGCAAGGGATAGTTTGACAAACAGTGTCAGCTCCCGTAAGCTAGATTTCCCTGGCAACCATAATATGGTGAACATGAACCTAGATGAGGGAATGCCACTTGCTAATGCTCTTTCAGTAACTGGAGATAACATCACCAATTATATTGATTTGGTATCGCAGAATAGGGAATGGCATGAAAACCAAGAAAAGCAGGATGCTGAATGGGGAAATCCTTGCTATAGGGGCTCACCAGAATTGGAACCATTTAAGTGGTACAAAAGTGAGCCTTATATGCACAGCACACCTGAGGAGGATGAAGATAATAAATGGGCAGCCAAACGTGGAAAGGGTGGTGCTGTCAATGCCTTATGCCCTCTGGCAATACAGAGTTTTGACGAGCATTTGGAGAAGGAGCTTTGCAAAGATGAGGAGACTCTGACCAAAGGACCAAACTTCTCAGAAAATGATCAGGTTTTTCTTGAGGGATGTGCTCAAGAATCTGAGACAATACAAAATGCTGTACCAAAGCTAGAAAGAGCTGCTCTGCCTGAACCCAAGTGCGAGGCAACCTTTGTAGTTTTTAGTCCCATCACTTGCGAAAATGGCTCTATGTCCCCTTTTACAGACTCATCCAAAAATACAACCTGTGCTGTTTTTGCCCTGGCAGATGAAGTTGGTGGTATTTCTAAAGCTGGGAAGAATAACAACACAGTGAAAGAGTGTGCCAGGAGGACTTTGCTCAGAAGTAATTCTGAACGAGCCACGGTTAAACCAGTCATCAGATCTCCACTTGCTGCTACCATAACCAAAGCAAGAAAATCAGAGATAGTGAGCTTTCCGAAGCCAAACTTTAAAAACGTTAAGCCAAAAGTTGTGTCCAGGCCCATACCCCAGTCGAAAGAGAGTGCTGCCTTAAAAGCAGCTCAAAGATCTCCTCAGCTATCTACCACTTCGTCATCTTCCCCATCTTCTTCCCCGAGGCAAACATCCTCTTCAATTGCTGCACTAAGGAAAAAAATGGACTTGGATAGAGGTACAAAAGCAGAAACACCAATGAATAAGACCTATAAGCAACATTTTAATAAACACCTTCCTAGCCAAGCTGTACATGCTGCAACTCATTCTGAAAATACTTCCCACAAGGTTACAAAAACAACAACTGTGTTAAGACAGAATGTGGAACAGGTTGACAAAGCGAGGTGCCTCAATTCAACATTCCTCTCTGTTTCTGGGGCTGTTGCATGCACAGACAACACAGGTGGGACACTGAATGACAAAATGGAAATTGTAGAGTCCTGTGTACAGCCTTGCACTTTGAACATCTGTTCAGTACCTCAAGAGGAGCAGCAGAATGAATGCCTGGGTGTTCCAACAGAAAAGTCTGCTGAAGATGCAGTGAATGAAGGTGTTGGACTTGCCCGTCTTCCTTCGGTAAGGCTTCCCCCCCCCTTTTGAATGTATCTTCAGGTTGTCCCAGAGAACTGATTGCAGGTTGCTGATTTAAAACACCTAGATTTTTTATTGACATGTGAGAGCTGCTTATTATACGGCAAATAAGAGAGCTTGCATAATGATACGGGGAAAGGAAAAAAACAGATGAGCTTCCAGAATGCTTTGTCGTTAACCTTGGGCATCCTGGCTCCGTATAAGCCGCATGAGGTTCT